TATGTCACTCACTCCAGCTAGGCCATCCTATCAGAAACCTGGAGTTCTCGTGAGAAGCCTGAGTGCAGGGCTTTGGGAACTGTTTTGTGATCTTGTCACACCTCCTTTCTCAGCTACTTTGAGGTCACCCCACCTTCCTGTCATCAGCACAGTTCCAGGTTTGTCAGAGAGCTTATTTTATACAAGTATATCCAGTTCTGCTGGAATGTCCTCTTTTTCCCCTGTGAGTAGGTTAGCTTTCCTTTGATATCTAGAATTTTAATGAAATCAAAATGAACATGTTATACTGTAACGCAACCAGGGAGATGGAGAAGTCTTCCTTATTGTATCTCAGATTTTCCCTATGGTGTCATCCCCCCCCCCCATTTCTAAAGTAGAAATTCCTTTAGCAAGGGTTTATTGGTAGTAATTCTTTTAGTATTTGTTGTTATTCTTTCACCTTGCTTCTGTAGGGGTGAAAAGATGTGATTATTGTGGCCATGACTGACGCTGTTGTTTTTTTTTGTTTGTTTGTTTGTCTTTTTTGGTACCGGGGATCGAACTCGGATCCTTCCGCTTGCAAGGCAGGCGGCGGAACCACTGAACTAAATCCCCGGCCCCACTGACACTCTTGTAACAAAAGTAAGTTAACAAGAGAAAAATATAACAGATTATTTTAATCAAGTTTTTATGTGACATAGGAGGTTATAGAAATGAAGACCCAAGGCCCAGGGAAAAATGCGTTTGGGCTTAGGGTTCGTAAAGCACAGCCGGCCATGTAGCTGTGCTTGCACCCAGGGGTGTGATCTAGTGGTAGTAGACATGGGGAGATCTAGGAAGGCTATTCACATTCTCTTTGGCATCTCTATAGCTTTCTTTCCTCCTGGATCTGGGACAGGACCCCTCTGAAAGAATGTGGAGAAAAAGTAACTTTTCTGGGTTTTGTGGCCTGATTTGGGGGAGAAAGAGGAGTTAGAGACAGGAGGGTAGGAGAAGGTCAAAAAGGCCTCACTTCTGAGGCCCATCCAGTTTCCTTTAGTTCTAAACACTCAGTAGGCCAAGGTGCTATACTTTGAAGTATCTTGTTCTGAGCCCTAACAATTCTCAAAAGCTAATTGACTGAATTTAAGGCGCTCTCTTAATAGTTATTTTGTCTTAGCAGTTTAGCACATTCTGCTTAGGCACAGCTGGACAGAGATTTAGATGTACATCTGAAAATCCAAAGAAATTATACAGACAATAGCTTTTAGCTTAGTATCAGTGCTATTGGAGATTTGTATTTCTGCAGCATTTCTTAGCATTGCTATCCTACAAGCACCAAGTGGTTAGGACTGTAAAATATTTTCATTGGAAAATAGTTAAGATTGATTAGCTAATAATAGTTAAGATTAAGGTTTTCTGCCTATTAGTATGATATATTGGGGTTGAGAATAGGCAATTGGAGCAGAGACTTTATGATTCTTTTGGTGCCAAAAGGTTTGATTCTTTTGATAACAAATATACAATAAAATACTATTAATTTCACTATCCAGAAATAATCTTTTGATAATATTTTAATTTATTTTCATATCTTAAAATAGTAGTTGAGATTATACTATATATTCAGCTTTATTTCATGACTTGCTTTTGTCACTTACTGTTCGTCTAAGGTTGTCCATTTTCTTTTAGAACTAACCTCCCTCCCTCCCTGCCTGCCTGCCTGCCTTCTCACCTTCTGGCCTTCTCTTCCCTCCCCTCCCCAGCCCCACCCAGGATTGAATCCAGGGCCTTGCTCTTTCAGGACCAACATTCTAACTGAGCTGGATACCCACCCCCAACTTTCAAATAGCTATATAATTACTCTCCTATGGTTGCATCATAGTTTAACAATTTCCATGTTGTTGGACTTTGGATTATTTTTAACTCTGCTCTTATAAATAAAACTTTAGTTAGCATTCTTGGTGCACACATAGTTGTGGATGACTTAGATTATTTCCTTGTGATATTTTTATTATTGTGATATTTATTGTGATATTATTGTGATATTATTTCCTTGTGAGATTTTCCTTGTGATATTTCCTATTCATGGGATATAAATGTTCTGTGACTCTTGCTACATAAGTCAAATTGTGCTTTAGGATTGTCATAGGTGCTAGTTTATATACCTATCAGTGTGTGAGAATATCCATTTTATTCAAATTTTTAAAAAATATGGTGGTAATACTATGGAAATAATAATTTTAAAGGAATTAGGTTAAATTTGCATTTCTTTGATTACTAGTGAGATTGAATTTTTATATGCTTATTTTCCTTTTGTGTTTAATCTGTCTGTTCAGGCATTTAAAACAGATTTTTTTCAGTTACATGTTTATCTGTTTCTTATTTTTATACATTGTGTACATTATTATTTAGGTTTTGACTTCTAATCTCGCTTAATACTTTATATTGTCATAGTTCTAAATTTTTACCTTTTCATTATGATTTCTCTCTTTAGTTGTTTAGTATAGCTTTACCCAAGATCAGATAGTCTTTGTAGTTTGTATGTTTTTACTATCTTATGGAGCCTTTGTAGATTTTTTCTTTTTACATTTGGCTTTTCGCCACTTTATTCTGTTTAGATTTAGGAATTTTTTTCTTTCTCAAATTTAAATAATTGCTCCAGAACCATTTATTAATAGTCCCTTCTGTTCCCACCAAGTTGAACTACTGTCTTGATCAGTGGTTTAATTTTCGTATATACCATCACTGTAGATATATCTAAATTCCAAATTGTGGTATTATCAGAGTTTAGTTTTCTGACTCATAGTTTAAAAATTGTATGTTATGTTTTTGCACTTTTTGATTACCAGTGAAGTGTGAGATTGGATGTATTTTCATGTGTTTTGTTTTGGTTTTTTTGGGTACCGGGGATCGAACCCGGGACCTTGCACTTTCGAGGCAAGTGGCGGAACCACTGAGCTAAATCCCCAGCCCTCGTATGTTTATTGGTTATTCTTGCTTTCACTTCTCTGTATTGCCAGTTCAGATTTTCTGTCCATTTTTCTAGTAGGTTTTTATTTTATGGATTTGTAATGTTTATATATTCTGGGTAGCAATTTTATGTTATAGGCACTGATTTTCCCCAATTTATGATTTGACTTTTTAACAAATTTCAAATTAAGTTTCAAAATAGTTAGTTTTATCAATCTTTACTTTTATGATTTGTGTGTTTCCTTATCTACTTAATATAATAAAGAATTATTGAGCATGTACTATGTTCCAGGCACTGTTTTAGGCACTTGGGATACATCATAAACAAAACACATAAAATATCTAGAGATCACATTCAAGAAGTTTTTACCCTAAGTTTATATAAATACTCACCTTTTTCCCCCCTAAAAATATTTAAGCTTTACTGTTAGGTCATTAGTCTGCCTTGAATTTATTTTTGCATATGATATGAAGTAAGAAATTTAGGTTTTTTTTTTAGGTGATTATATAGTTACCCCAGCATCATTTATTGACTAATAACAGTATTTCTTTACTCTTTTGTAGTGCCGCCTTTGTTTGGTGTTTAGTTTCTCCATTTGTGTGGGCTTGTATATGACTGTTTTGTTTATTGGTATATTTCTCTATTCTTATCTATACCACACTCTTAAATGTATAGCCTTATACTAAGCCTTGATATCATAGGTCCCCTGTCTTATGTTTCTTCAGAAGTATTTGACCTATTTATTAGTCTTTGTTTTTCCTCATGAATTTTAGAATCAGCTATCTTCCGGTTATATCTTTGGTTGTGCTTGGCTTCCTTTTCAAAGCTGCTATCAGCTGTGTTAGGGTAAAATCCTGCTATTTTTGTGGGTTTTTTTTAATAGTTCTGACTATTCAATTTAGTGTTGGAGGTAGCTTCTGCCTCCTTGGCTTCCTGTCTTCCTCCCTTCTTAGTTCTCTCCCTTTCCCTGCCTTCCCCCTTTCCTCCTTCCCTTTCATTGTTTTCCCTTTTTATCTTGCCATCCTTCTTTTTCTTATAACCTTTCTAAAGAGCACTTTAAAAATACGAGGGGTTGGGCCGAGGTTTTAGCTCAGTGGTTCCGCTGCCTGCCTGGCAAGTGCAAGGTCCGGAGTTTGATCCCTGATACCAAAAAAAAAAAAAAAAAAAAAAAAATTAACTTTGAAAAGTGGTATATAATAAGTATGTTGAGGGAGACAGATGACAGATAATAGAGTAATGTAGCACTAGGTGAAAGTCTTCTGATAATTGTTTGCTGTGAACTTCTATATATTTTTCTGAGTATGTATAAATGTTTATTTAAAGAGATCATCTGCATGTTCTTCCTGTAGTTTGCTTTAGTATTTAGAAAGCATTTTTGATAGTTGTAACTCATCTTCGTGATGTCTGTGCTGCATTATATATGCTGATTTAACCAGTTCTGTGTTGCTGGGCTTGTAGACGTCTGCCTCTTGACCTTGTAGCTCCTTTCCAATAGTGCTGATCTTCCTTGGCAAAGTGGAGGTTTTGTAGTTTCATTTACTTTATTTTCCATTTTCTTGTGGTTTCTTTCTTACTTTTTTCAAGAGCTCTTAGTGAAATTCTACCAAGAGTGCTCCTGTATACTTTTCAGGGCACTGACACAGAGATAGGGTCTTGGTGTGTGGCGCAGGCTGTCTTTGAACTCTGGGCTCAAGCAGTTTTCCTTAGCCTCCTGAGTAGCTGGGACTACAGGTATATGCCACTGTGCCTTGCTGCTTGTTATGATTATTTGGTTTGGTACTCTTTGTATTTTACTGTAGTACATATGTAAAAGATGTTTTAAAAATACAGTGTCCTGGAGAAGAGTGTGGTTTAGTGTGAAAGAGCAGAGAGAGTGTAGAGTTGAGAAATGAATTAGAGAAAATGGAGATGGAAACTTCAACAGGTCTTTACCACATGCATGACTAGGAGAAGGCAGGGAAGGAAGAGAGGCTGATCTTGGGATTTTGCTTTTTATTAGTACTGTAACTTTTGAAAGAAGTTAAAATTGGACGCTATGTTGCATAATTTGTCCTTTTCTTAATCTTCCTAGCCTCCACCAGGCAGTGTGAAAATGCCTAATGTACCTAATACACAGCCAGCAATAATGAAACCAACAGAGGAACATCCAGCTTATACACAGATTGCGAAGGTTAGTTCATGTTCACTGTATAAATGTATATCCGCAATTATAGTATTAAGATTAATATTGCTTTCAGAGACTACTGTAATTCTTTGTACCATTAAATTCCTTAATCATTAAATTCCTTATTTTTAAATTTTAACTTAACTTTTGAGTCTGGATTAGAAATCTTGTCATTTTGTAAGTACTCAAATCTCTTTGTCAGTTTCTAACATTTGCCTTACTCCATTATTAGGAATCACGGAATTCGTATATCATTTTGTTGTGCAGTTTGTATAGTGAAATTTTTTTCTTGCCTTTGGTCTTAATTTTTAATGTACAATACTACTCAGTAACCGAATGGTAGCTATTCTAGGGAATGAGTTAAAATGGCTAGGTAGTGATGGTAAGAGGAAGTAGATGACAAAAATCAAAGAATGACAGAGGTGAGTAAGTTGTCTGGTGTCACATATGGGCAGATGAAGTTATAGACCAGAATTTCTTAACCATATCCTTCTTCCACCTCAGTATCTTATGATTTTTAAGACATTATAAAATAGTCTTGCATTGCTTGGAAGGTTATGTGTTATTTAACCAGTTTATCAAAGCTAACTCAGTTGCCCTTTTTTCTGTCTTATTTTCCTCACCTGTTCCCTTTGTTTCTGTCCTTAATCTCACTTAGGCACAAAGGTCATGTTAATTTCATTTTCCAGATGACCTCTGACTCTGACTTCTCATACTGAGAGGAGTTTTTCTTATGCTATAGACTATTCCTACAGTGCCAAAAATCCATGCAACATTTTCTGAAACTATAATCTTCATTTCTGTATTTTGGAAGCACATTTGAATTAGGTTTCTATCATAGAGAAAGAAGTAGGAGATAGCATATAAATGTTAGAGTGTTTTATACTTCTGGCAAGCAATTCATGTATTGATAACTTTTGTTTAAGGAACATGCCCTGGCTCAAGCTGAACTTCTTAAGCGCCAAGAAGAACTAGAAAGAAAAGCTGCAGAATTAGATCGTCGAGAACGAGAAATGCAAAACCTCAGTCAACATGGTAGTATCCAAAAAAGTTTGAAATAGAAGTATCTATTCTAGCTGCAGGTCATTTTGTTTATGGATAAAACCCTGTCCTGTTTTCCTTTTCTGCCAAGGAGATCAGACAAGGCAAATTGCCTACTTGATACTCTCTAGCTTTTTGATCTTGACCAACTTGTGTAGTGTTTTGGTGGATTAGAACAGCCTTGGCCCCATCACAGAGAGGGGAAATGCAGATCTGATAATTGTGGTTCATTCTAAACCCAGGAAGCTTTGATTCTGTATTTGAGCTCTCTCTGGATCTGTTGAATCTTTCAGAACATTTGAATGTGTGTGCCCCTGTTTGACCCTTAACCTTATTTACTCAGATCAGATTCAAATTATCTACCCCCGTCCTCAAAAACATGTTAAAAAATGTTTGTGGTGACCCTTGGAAGATCAATCGCATTTATGTTGTCAAAGATAAATCAGTCCTGAATTATTTGCTATGGAATCTATTCAGGCTATGACTACCGAGATTACTTCAAGGGAGTATTTTAGGAAAAGTTAGCAGTGTCTGGATAAGAAGGGACAAAAGGTGAAGGTAAGTCATTGTTAGGTTGCCTGGGATAGTTATGGACTAACAAAGTGATGCAGTACAGAGAATGGTTTCTTCCTTATCTTAGAATGTTCAGGTTTAGGCCCTTACCTGGACCATTTATTCTGGGTCATTTTCTTGTTTGCAGTACCAGAGACAGCATCTACAAAGGAAAAACTAAACATTTAAGATCAATGTTTCTGAAATATCTGTAGCTAAAATTTGCCTTATTTTCTTAGCATTGACTAATTCAAATTATTTCTATGAGAGATATTTTAATAAACGTAGTAATGAAGAGTGGGAAATTAAGAGTCACACAGGGGGGAAAAAAAGTAAAAAAGAAGGGTAAGGATTTAGCTTAGTGGTGCTGCGCCTGCCTCCAAAACACGAGGTCCTGAGTTCAATCCCTGGTACTGGGAAAAAAAAAGAAATTAAGAGTTAGACATTTTAGTACTTTTCACTTACTAACTCATATTTAATCCTCAGTACTGTCCTGTGAAAAGGTGGTTTACTTGTCATTCTCATGTTAACATATGAAGAACTTAGATTCTGAGAGGTTGTCTCTGACCACTCGCCACTTAGTGGCTCAGTCCTCTGGTTCCAGAGCTTGTGTTCTTCATTGCTGTTCTCTGCTGCTGCTCAAATACTCTTGAGACTGGTATGAAAATGTCTGAACTACATGAAATTTAGATAGTATAATAAATGTAACAAACAAGCTAGGTTGGGGAGAATCAGAACTAGGTCTTGCTTTTTTCCACTATGAAAAATTTCCTCAACTGGTTGTAGTTGCACACACCTGCCATCACAAAACTCAGGAGGCAGAGGCAAGGGGGTTCAAAAATTTGAGGTCACCCAGGGCTACATAGTGAGACCCTGTCTCCAAAACAAAATACAATAAACAAAAAAACACATATACACAAAAAAATTTCTGGTATAGAAAAACTATGTAAAACTGGGTTTCTGTAACTAAAACTGTTAGTTGTGATGTACAGAATTTAAAGTTAGAAAATGATCTTTAGTTTATATTATTACCCTCTATACTTACATTTTGATTTTTTTTTTTTGTACTGAGGATTGAACTCAGGACCTTGCACTTGCGAGGCAGGCGGTGGCACCACTGAGCTAAATCCTCGGCCCTACATTGTGATTTTTGCTTTATTTTTAATTTTCCACCTTATTTTCAATCTATTTCTTCATATAGACACATTTTCTTTCCTCACAGTCTGAATTTGTTTTTCTCTAGATTTTTGAAGGTGCTATAATTCCTTTACTTCTTTTTCATGAATATTTCACGTTCTTTGAATTTTATGGATTTCTTATATGTGTCTTTTGGGTATTATGTTTTTTCCCAGACTTTGAGATTTCCAAATTTGAGTCTTTGATGCCAGTTTAATCTTGTGTTCTTTGTGGAGTTAACAGAAGAAAAGTTGAGATTCAGATGCTGGTCATCCCTTTCTATACAGCAGAATTTTACTGAAAAATGTAAGATGCTGAGGATGATATTGAAGTTTAAAAACTGGATTGCCTTCTCATGACAGCCAGACACTTGTGACTTTGATACTCTTTTTTTTTGTTTGTTTCTGATTTCTCCCTTTTTTGGGTGATACCTAAATATGATGTAATATGACACTGAAAAATTACTATACCATCTGTTGTTTTCTAAAGTTATATTCCAAGAAAAAATTTTAAAAATATGAAGCTTGATTTTCAAAGTTGTAGAGGTGTAGAGATAGTATTACATTTTAAAATAACATTTACTAAAACAATAGAATCATTATCACACAATGAAAGTAAGGATAGAATATATTTATGAGTAATTCTTCTTTTAATTTACAGGTAGAAAAAATAATTGGCCACCACTTCCTGAGAATTTTCCTGTGGGACCTTGTTTCTATCAGGACTTTTCTGTAGACATTCCTGTAGAATTCCAAAAGACAGTAAAGCTTATGTACTACTTGTGGATGTGTGAGTATAGAACAAATTATATTATTTATAGTTTATACTTTTGCTACTAAAATTTTCTTTGTTTTGAACTAATCTCTTAAGGCTAACATAGTAGTAAACTCATCTTCTTTTCCATAGATAGATATTAATGACCAAAGTTTTCAGAGTGAAGCATCATATTCAAAACCATACAACCATACTGTATGTGATGATGTAAATCTTTTCCTGAAGAAAACCTACATCTTGAGAACTGGCACTTTCTTGAGGAAAGGGCGGTATCTCTGGCATGTGGGAGATTTTGTAATGATACTTTTTCCTTGAAGAATGCTATACAGATATGAATAATCTGCTTTGAAAAACTTAGACATACTATTTTTGTGCAGAAGAAGACAATTTAAGTAAATTTAGACATTATGGTTATTTTTAAAATGAGACAGAAACTACTGTAATATTATAAAGTTAATTTTAAAAATAGCTCTGAGCACAGTTTACTTTTCATTTTCAAGTGATTGTGAATATTTTTATTTTTGAAAGTACTTGAGTAATGTAGGACATTTTATTGAATACAACATTAGAGCATACGTTTTTAGGCTGTGATGCTTACATTGCTTTGAGTATAATTATAGCACATAGAAGACTAAATTAAAATGTCAGGCTCTTAACAGTTTTGCTGAATGTACACAGACTTCCCACTTTATTTTTCATTTTATTCTATTTTGATGCCATTGTGTCAGTAGGGATAACAGCAGTTGTGCCTTCTTAACTGCACAATATTTGGGAAATGGAGAATTTGTAGGGTACATTCTGAATGAAGGAAATTTATATTTTTACTTTATGATTAGTGAGGCTTTCTTCTTCCCTCGAAAGAGATAATTTTCTTAAATTTTTTAGGAGCACTCCTCATATTCAGGGGAAGTTGTTTTGGAATTTGAGTAGTTCTTTCTGGATAGTATTTTTGTAACTTAGTTTCTTGTTGACAATTTATTCTTGATTTAATATCTTTTGCTGAATTTCCAGTGTGTCATATACACATATGTATCTCTGTGCATGTATGTGTGTGTGTGTATATATGTGTATTCAATAGTACATACTAACAACTTCATATCTTATTTAATATTTCTATGTATTTATACTTTCTGTTTATTTTTTAAACGGGCAGAAACTGGCCTAGTATTTTAGGCATGTTATTTGACTTAAAAATTGCTTTTCTTTGTGAAAGGACATAGGGGCTGGAAGAAAATTGTATGAGGAATTTAGTGAATATTGATTGAATAGGGGTTTATAGTTAATTTTAACCAAATGGTTAACCATTTTACTAATGCTGATGGTTTCAAAATAGAGCTCTTTTGTCTTAGAAATGTGCAGCTTTCTCAGTCTCTCAGAATAACATAGTTGAAAATAGTTTTCTATTCAAAATCCTATTGAGTTGGCAGATCTGTTAATTGGTATTAAAGAGGACTTAAGATTCTAGTTACATTTTGTTTTGAAGAAACATTAATTGGAACAAAGTATGATTTACTACCAGCTCAGTAATGTGCCTAAATTTTATAGAATATAGGCTGCTTTCATAAGTTGTTTTAGTATGCTATTTTTAAGGAGTTTCAACTTGTGCTTTCGTAGTGTAATAATGAGTTTAATGAAAGCTCACCATTTGTTGAAGGTTTACTTTGTGCCAGACGCAGTGCTAATCACTTTATATACGTTATCTTATTAAATGTTAACCACACTAAGAAGAAGTACTTTATTATCTGGTTTTATAGATATGTAAACTAAAGCTTAGAGAATTTGAGCCACTTGTTGGAGTTTACTCTAGAGCCCAGAGTCTAGACTTCCATGTTGTACCACCTACAAAGTGGAGAAGAAAGGAAGTAATTTATATTTTATAACAAATACCAGCTACATTCCCACAAGGATGAAGTCCCTTTTGTGGTAACCCGTGTATGCACCTCCCTTCCTGAACCAAGTTGTGGGGACTTAACTGTTCTTTCTGCCATCCTGAGCCATGCCACTGTCAGCATGTCCCTCAATGTATTTTACTCTGTGCAGTCTAAAAGAACCAATCAATGAAGACATGCTCTCATAGGTATCTAATCTAATCTAATCTTAAGCAATAATTTACCTTGAAATGAACTGAAGCAATTAGAAAATCCCTGTGAAATGAATCTCAACCTTTTTGTCGTGTACTTTTGGATTCAAAAAGGAAAAACAATTTGCTACATTAAAGACCATGTGGTGAAGAAAATAATATATTTGTTAAGTGTCTTTAACCCATAACAATAAAGATATTGTAGTAATGATTTCAAATGTAGGTCCATTAATACCAGATTGACTGTCTAGTAAAGTAAATTGAAATTTTATATCCAAGAGAGTTGTTTCAGTTGCAAATCATGGAAACAAACTGCTCTACAATTTCTTTAGTGTTTTATCTATTCTTTTTTTTTTTTGGTACTGGGGATCGAACTTAGGACCTTGCACTTGCAAGGCAGGCGTGGTGCCACTGAGCTAAATCCCTGGCCCTTCCTTTTTTTTTTAAAGAAAATAGTTTTTATTTTTTAAATATGATAAAATGTTTAAGTTCATATTTTAAAATTGGTGAAATCTCAGATTTATTTAATATTTTATATCTAGTGTTTTTAGGCAACAAAAACATCAGTATGGTCAAATGTTAACTCATTTCACTTTTGTATTAATAACAAACTTATTTATATAGTAGTCCTGAATAGGCATAAGGACTTCTTGACATTATTTTGTTTTTAAAAGAAAATATTATTTAATTAAACTATCAAAGCCCTAATAGAATGCTGGAAAAGTATAAAAGGTTAAAGGGAAAAAGAGTTTCAGTTTAGTCTCAGTTTTTGGTTTGTCCTGAGTCACCTTCTTTCCTGTTTCTAAGATTATGATTTTTTAATTCTAATTGGTTTTGTTTTAAGATGGCAACATATTAACAAATTATTATTGTTATAGGCTTTTCAATTTGCCAAAAATTATGCATTGTAAGTGGAATGAAGGAGCATTTCCAGTTGACAAGTAGACCTATGCGTAATGAGGTATCTCGTAAATAAAGCTTGTGACAATTAAACCAACAAATGGTGGCAATGAGAAAACTATTGACAAAGTACAACCAGGGAGGGAATGTTCATCTCAATATATGCAGGAATCTGTACTTTAAGTAAAAGAATGAATACCTGAAGCAGTACAGATGGTAACCAGGTTCCAAGAAAACAGACAGTGAGCTTGGGCAAGAATATTCTTGACTAGAGAGGGATGAAGAAGGAAAATATAAGATAGTCTCAGATGAAGAGTAGGCATATATGCCCTTGTCCCCCACTTTAGGGAGAAAGCATTGTATCGTCTCTCCATTCATAGAAGGAGTTTTTGTTGGAAGTATGGAGTACATGTCTTTGATCTGTTGAGAAGTTTCTTTTCTACCTCTAGTCTCCTGATAGTTTTTACCATGAACAACTGTAGAATTTAGTCCAATACTCTTTCTCCAACTAGTGACAGGATCATATGGCTTTCTCCTTTCCTCTGTTAAAATGATGACTTTTGGGGGTGGATCCTCCAATGCTGAACCAACACTGCCATCCCTATAACAAAACCACTTTCTACATACTGCCAGATCTGACTTCCAATAGTTTGTTTTGTTAAACAAATTTCTATCTATGTTCATACATTTTTCTTCTATTATCTTTATCCAGTTTTAGGATTAGCACAATGTTGAGTTCCTAAAATGAGGGGAGAAGTGTTCCTTCTTTTTTCTGCTTTAAATGTTTGATATAATTTATCAGTTAAAATGTTTATGAGCCTGCTGTTGTCATATAAGTAGGTTTTCAAGCTAGGAATATACTTTCTTTAATAGGTGCTATTCATATTTTATATTTCCTCCAGAGTTAGTTTCATTAATTTGTCTTCCAAGGTACTTCTTAGAAGTTGTCAAATTTATTTCAAAACAGATTTTTGAAGTATGCTTTCTGTATCCTTTTAAATTCTGTAAAATCTGTGGTAATGTCTCCTAGATCTTAATATTGTAATTTTAAAAATGTATAACTGATATTGTGTAACAGGAAGAAAAGGTCTAAAAGAGCAGGGGAATTGGGAGGGGTAGGGGAAGGGAAAAAAGGGAAAGGAAAAAATATGAGAAGAGGAAAAAAATGGAAACAAGGTCTTTGCAAATATGGAAGGGTGGAGGGGGTGAAGGGAGGGCAAGGGAAGGGGAAAAATAATAAGAACCAAGAGACTCATGTAATGGTACAAGATCCCAATGATGAATGTAACTGTATTTTATACCTAAAATGTACCAATAAAGTTAATGGGGAAAAAAAATATAAGATAGTCTCATTCATATAGGAAGTTATTTGAATAGCCTGTACCAAGGTAATAACTTCTGACCAAGAGGTTATAAAAGCCATAAATAAAATCATCATCATGGAAAGGGACAGGCAGTAACTCTGAATGCTGACATAGGACATTGGTAAGAATAAATATTCTGTGCCTTCAGGCTTTGGTAGGTAGCTGATTCTCCCAAAACATAAGCAAGGACTGAAATCCAAATCAAAACATTGCAAGGAAATAAAATGACTTCTGACATTTAGATGAAAGCTTGGTGAGTTTAGAGAAATTCAGGCAATAATCTATACAAGATATTAAGAAGACTGGATAATCCAAAAAGCCATAAGTAAAGGAAATAATTTGAGCAAAGAGGCAGATATGGTATTTAGTAAACCTAATACCTAAAAGTACAAAATCCCTGAATAGGATATAATGGAAATGTTTACCAAAAATAAAAAATCAACAAATGCTAATGAAACACAGAAACATTACATAAAATTTTGATAGCTTGGGCCAGGGATTTAGCTCAGTGGTTTCGCCGCCTGCTGTGCAAGCACAAGAACCTGAGTTCGATCCCCGGTACCAAAAAAAATTTTGATAGCTGTTTTTTCTTCTCATTCCTAGTGTGAGAATATTTAATAATGTTTTTCCAAGTACGATCAAGAACAACAGACAAGTAGCATCTAGAGACTGATTTGGTTTTTTTTTTTTTTTTTTTGGTACTGGGGACCGAACTCGGGTCCTTGCACTTGGCACAGCAGGAGGGGAAACCACTGAGCTAAATCCCTGGCCCTAGAGACTGATTTGTTTGATGTAACTGGTACCGAAAAGAGCAGTTGTCTAAAGAAAAAGGTTTCATATTTTTAGTTAAATTTCAGGAAGACCTGCTGAAAAATACATGATAAAACACTGCTTCACTTTATTTTGCAGTCTCTCCAGAGAGTCTTCCTAACCCACGATCCCCTAATTTATTTTGATTTTGCTGCCTTCAATTATGTCACTGTTGGTTCCTTGCATTTCATTTTGCTATACCAAAGTTATCCTTTGCTGGTGTGGGTTATCTCTGGGAGTTGAGTCACTGGTGCTCCGGGCTGCACCTTCCTCCAGAGTCTGCCAGCACAAACCACCTGGCCAGAGCTTGCGCCTTGCATCCCTTGCAGGGCCCCCACTCCGCCCAAGGCAAGGTCACCGTAAATGTTGTATCTATTCTTGGAGTCCACCAGCGTAGATTCATTGCTCCCTTGCATTGGACTGAAATTATCAACATAGATCATGGATTTTCACATTACCTGGCCTTTATGTTTTCTGAACTCTAAAAAGTGGACGCATTGTTCAGTAAGTAGTCCTAGACACATAAGTGCTCATTAGAATATAAGTAAATGGCTTATTGATGAAGGATATTGGTTAGTATGAAAACATTTAGAAAAAAATTAATAACATAACATTAAATTGATAGTTTTAACTGTATTTGGAAGAACTCGTTTAAACTTCAAAACATACATCTACGTATATGTTGTCTTTTTTTTTCTTTAAATGGATTAGGTTTATCTAACCTTTAAAATTATTCCTAGGAGGGTCGAAATTTAAAATGGAATTTTCTTAACATTAAAAACTATTCCTAAATTACTAAATTCATTTAATTATACAGAATTTAAATTTTGAATTTAAGGGTTGTTAAACCCTTACCACAACTACTTTTATTTTGAGGAAAAGGATTTTGAATAAATTTATTAGCAAGCTAACTTTCGTGAGAATTAAAAATTCTTAACAGGAACAGAGTTTTTGATATGTGATAAAAGGGAATGAAATTTTAAAACTGGAAGAGCTTCTTCATTTTTGTAAATGAAAAACTGAAGCTCACATAGCTTAAGTGATTGGCTTAACATGTTCATGATGGGGCCATAATTCCTGTGTCTTGCTGCCAGGTAGCTTGAACCGCCAGTGGTACATGCCTGACTGTCCCATAGGGCAGCTTTCTATTAATTTTGTTAGTAAAAGGACCAATAAAAGTGATTAGATTCAGTGGTACAAGCTGCCTGGTGGGACAGTCATACATTTTCATGAGTATTTCCTATAATAAATTTAGCTGGGGACTAAGGTTTTAAAGAATCATTTAAAAAGTTATTAATTATAATGGGTACCTGTGAATCATACTGTAGTTAGATGTTACTCTCAGAATTTTTGTTTTTGATCTATTAGGGAAAATCTTTATTAACAGCATAGGAAGAGTTTACCAAGACCCATTTGTGTTAATCAAAGGAACAGCTGCTGAAATGCATCGCATTGTATTATGTGCATGGGAAAGGAGTGTATTAATGATTTTAATTCTCTACCAAACTACAGGTTTTTTTTTTTCAGGACTTTAAAATTGGACAACTCCTGTGAGATGAATCACTGATCCTTTTAGATCGACTCTGTAATCCCTGGAAATTGCTACTCTTTGTATTTTGACTCTAGTTTTTTAGTTTGTGGCCCTGTTCTCTAAAAATACGCTTTTAAGTACAGTGTCTTTCTCCTCCCAGGTCCTAGTTATTAAGGCACTGCTTTTCATTTTGGGCAAATCACATTATTTCCTACTCAGAGAAGAAGCCCTAAAGGCAGTTCTCTTTTGATTAAGCTGTGTGATTGCCTTTTAGGAAGAGAGGACTAGTGAGGTTTTGGGCAGCTCTGCAAGACTTTCCTGTGTGTACTTGGTTTACAAATTAAATGTGTAAGAAACAGCAGTGTTTTTAATAATGCTAAATGGAAAGAAACATGGGGTAGAATATGTTTTTTCCTAGGAAATAGTTTTAATAAAGTGAATGTAAATGTTTCCTTTCTGTTTTTGTTTTCTGATTCCACAGTCCATGCTGTAACACTGTTTCTAAATATCTTCGGCTGCCTGGCTTGGTTTTTTGTTGATTCTTCAAGAGGGGTTGATTTTGGATTGAGCATCCTGTGGTTCGTGCTTTTCACACCTTGCTCATTTGTCTGTTGGTACAGACCACTTTACGGAGCCTTCAGGTACAATGTGTGTACTATAAAATTTCTCTTTAAAACCGGTTAATAAAGTTAATCTAGTTTCTTTACTTCAGAATTTCTTAGACTCTTTAAATGCTTGTTGTGCTCTTTGACTCTACCATGAAATCATTAGTTTCCTGTGGAGCCCCTTTTGGGATTATTGTTTTGAGAAATACATTTGCTTTAAGAAAAACATTTGAACTGGGCATGGTAGCATGTACCTAAATCCAAACTACTGAGCAGGAGACTAAGGCAGGAAGATCGCTTGAGCCCCACAGGTGTTCATGACCAACCTGGGCAACATAGTAAGACCCTCTCTAACCACAGCAACAACAATTAACAACAACAAAGGAAAACCTACCTAGATGTGCAAATGGATGAGGGGAAAATAGAAGAGAGAAGGGAACTTGGAGAAAAAAGTGCCAAACAACTGAAAAATAAATTACCGGTTAGAAATGAAGGGGCCTTTGGACAATATTCTTAGAATATATTGGAAAATGGGAGGTTGGTTGTCAAGGAATTGGGGAGAAGTTTCCCTGCGGATCTAAGTTGGAGAGGAATGATAAGGACCTATTTATTCCTTGTATGACCTAGGAAGAAAGTTACCGGTGCCCTTTCTTTTGTTATTTAAGGGTGCTTACAATGCTTTATTTTAATATGTAGGTTCTGCCTGCTTACTTCTATCATGTTGCCAATGTGTTATCTGTAATAATGCTAGAGAGTAGAAATATCTTTATGAAGCTTTTCTTTTAAAATGATCTTAAACGAGAGACTTTGGATTTTAAAACTTTTGTAACTTGTTTAGCTAAAATATACTATTAAAAGCCAGCTGTTTGCCTTTTATTACTTAAGTCACTTGTTTTTTTTACCTTTCTTCAACAGTTGAAATAAAAATGTTTTGTGGAACACTTATCACATGTGGCATTGTCAGTCCCTAACTTATGTTCTTAGCTGCAGCTCAACCTCTTAGAGCCTACCACAGATGTATTACCTGGGTTTCACTGTGCAGAGCAGAACTGAAAATAATAATTTTTTTAATGGAGGAAGTTGAATTAAAGTACTTCCCATCATTAATGTTCTTCATTAGTGTGTAACTTTGGTCTTTCCTTTTACCGATATATTCACAGGACTTTGTATTTCCTACGATAATCCCATTATATAAATTTGAATGAGAACTATGTAAAGAAGTGTCATGTGCATTTGCTTTTAGAAACTTAAGTTTATTAGGTATCATAATTATACATGGGGCTTTTATTTTTGTCATTTCTGTATTTTTAAAAGAATGTAACTGTTCTTCATTTTGGCCTCCACAAATCACTGAACAGTGTATAAGTATGTCCACATAGTTGGTAATTATTAATGAGGGAGCACGGTTGTTGAAAAAGCATAAGTATTGGAAACTGACTGACAGGTGGCTTCTCCCACCTCAAAAGCCATGTGGTTCTGGTCAAATGTAATAAAACTTCTGAGAACCTCAATTTGTTAAATAAACTGGGGATAACATTTGCAGAGTTGCTACGAGGTTTAGGTATAATGGATGTGGAAGGTTTGCCATTCTAGATGATCCAGAATAGTAGCTGGAATTCATTTTTTATTTTTTGCTCTTAATTTTTATCATTTGCTTGTGGTAAGTAGATTGTGATTTGCCATACCTTATATTTTGCTTCTTTAGGTCCATTGTCTTCTTTTGCCCCTGTCTGAGCTAAGAGGAAATTATAGACTGAAGTGTTTATTGAATCTTAGGTGAAAATGAATCTTAGGTGAAATTGAACTTTAAAAAGTATAGTCTAGGGCCGGGGATTTAGCTCAGTGGTTCTGCCGTCTGCCTCACAAGCGCAAGGTCCTGAGTTCAATCCTCGGTACCTGCCCCCCTTAAGTCTAGTCTAATAATCTAGTTGTTTAATTGGAGTTTTTTGGTCTCTGTTTAGCAATGTAGCTACTGGTATATATAGATTTAAATTTGCCATCTTACTGTTTATACCTATTCACTATATAAAACTTATGTTTTGTATTTGTTTTCTTGCATCCTTTAGTTTAGTGAAGTATTAATCTATTTTTATGTATTTTATCATTTTCTCTTTCGCTTTAGTACAGATTTGTTGAGAATGAATTCTTTAGGTTTTGTTTGGCTGGAAACGTTGTTTGTGTTCATTTTTGAAGTTGATTTCAAAGGTTCAAGCTCTCTGTTACCAGTTAATTTCTTACAGCACTTTAAAAAAGCTGTTCCATTGTCTTCCATCTTTCATCATTATCATTTCAGTTGAGAAGTCATCCATAAGCCTTCATAATGTGCTTTGAAAACATCTTTTACCTAGGGCTATTTAAAGATTTTTTTTTGGGAACTGGGGATCGAACTCAGGTCCTTGCGCTTGTGCAGCAGGCGGTGAAACCACTGACTTAAATCCCTGGCCATATTTAAAGATTTGTTTGTTTGTTTGTTTGTTTTTGTTTTGTTTGTTTTTGATGTCAGAGATCGAACTCAGGTCCTTGTGCTTGTGCAGCAGGCAGTGAAACCACTGAGCTAAATCCCTGGCCCTATTTAAAGATTTTTAATGACTTTCTTTGTATTTATTCTACCTGGAGTTTGTAGAGCTTTAATTTATAGATTGATGGTTTTTGAACAGTTTGGAAAATACTTAGCATTATTTTTTCCATATTGCTTTGGTACCATAATATTCTCTTTTCATGTGAGCTTCAGTTCATGTAAGTTAGACATTTTCACTCTTCTACATGCCTTTTATACATTTTCCATTTTTTTTCTTCCAAGTTTCAGTTTGAATATTTTCTGTCAAACTGTCTTCCATTTCACTAATTGTCTTCTGTATTGTGTGGTCTGCAGTTAAATTCATGCATTGAATTCTTTTTTTTTCTTTTGCTTAAATTCTTTTATTGGTACATTTTAGGTATACAATACATTTATATTTATCATTGGGTGCTTGTACCTTTACATGATGTATCTTGGTTCTTATTTTTTCCCCATTCCCTGTGCTTCCTTCACCCCCTGCACCCTTCCCTATTTACAAAGTCTTTGTTTCCATTTTTTCCTTTTCTCGTAATTTTTCCTTTCCCCTTCCCCTCCCACTTTCCCTCCCCCTTTGGACCTTTTCTTCCTATTTCAAATGATCAGTTATTCATTTTAATCATTTTAATCCTTATTTACACTTTCAATTTCTCACACTAGAGATACTATTCAGTATTTACACGTGTGTCCTATTTATTCATGCATTGAATTCTTAATTTCAGTAGTTTCTTTCAATTGTACAATATGTGCTTGATTTTTTTAGTCTATTCTCTAGCAAAATTCTCTTATTAATGTCTTTGAATACACCCTTCAGGATCTAAATCATTCTGTGGGGCTGTTTATACTGTCTTTTTTTTTTGGACTTGGTTTTTAATTATATGTTGCTGTTTTTTAGCATATTTAACACATCTTAATTAGATTTGAAAACTTATGAGTAAAAAATATAGAGGCTTCTGATGATGTTCTGTTGTTGGGAGGGGGCATGATTGTTCACCTGTTTCTTTGTTGTCTGCTAGCAGGCAAAAATCAAGACTAAACTGAGTCAAGACCAAGTGACAGTTTTAATTTCTATCTCTATAACAATTTCCACCAGCAGTATCTATGGGTTCCAGTTTCTCTGCATCCTTACTAACCCTTTTTAGTTTTGTCTTTTTGCTATGGCCATTTTAGTAGGTGTGCAGTAGAGTCTTACTGCAGTTTCAGTTTGCATTTCTCTATTACTGGTGATGTTGAGCACCTTTTGCTTATTAGCCGTATGTATCATCTGGTGAAATGTCTGTTCAGGCTTTTCAATTTTTAGATTAGGTTATTGATTTCTTACTATTAAGTTCATATTCTATTATATTGCCTGAAATTGTTATATATTTGTGATGCAGATCTTTTTTATGTTTTGCAGATATTGTCTCTTAGTTTGTGACTTCTTAGTGGTGCCCTAGAAAATACAAAAGCTTTCAATTTAATGTAGTCTAATTTATTTTTTTTAATGTTTTGTCCTGTTAATGTCATGTCAAGAACAGTTTGCATAAGCTAAGATCAGTAGATTTTCTATTTTGAGATAGGGTCTTGCTGCATTGCCCCGGGCTTAAGTAAGCCTGCTTCCAGAGTGGCTGGGACTATAACCATGCACCACAGAACCCTGCTAAGATTTTCTTCTAGAAGTTAAAACTTAGTTGTATCTCCTATATTTAGGCTGGCAGTCCATTTTGAGTTAATTTTTGTTTGTTGTTTGTAAGAGTTAATTTGGGGTTTTTTTTGTTTGTTTAGTTTTGTTTTTTTGAGACAGAGTCTTGCTATGTAGTTCAGACTGTCCTGGAACTCATTATATAGCCTTGGTCTGCCTGCCTTGAACTCACTGAGATCCTCCTGCCTCAGCCTCCCAAGTGCTCAGATTATAGGCATGCACCATCATGCCCAGCTATAAGAGTTAATTTGTATATAATATGTGTAAGAGTTTAAATTCATCTTTTTGCTGTGGATATCTGAATATCCCAACACTATTAAAAAGACAATCTTAAAAAGTTACCTTTGCACTTTCATTGAGAATCACTTGCTCATATATGTATGGGCCTATTTCTGGACTTCTTTATTGGATCAGTGAGACACATTTGTTGAAAAATCCATTAGTCATAAATGTAGGGAGTTAATTTCATATTCACTTCTCATCCATTGAACTATATGGCTATCCTTAGAGTAAAATCCTCTTCTTGATTAATGTTGCTTGGTAAGTTAGTTTCCAACTTTTTTTGCTTTCATTACTTGTTTTGGCAACTCAAGGACCTTTTCATTTTATTTAAATTTTAGAATCAACCCTGTTTGTTCCTTTAAAACAATTAAAGAATCCTGCTGTGATTTTGATTAGGTTTGAATAAAATTTGTAGTTCAGTTTGGGAAGAGTAGATATCAATTTCTCTCAGCAGGGTTCTTCAGTTTCACTTGTGTAAATCATACTTATTTTGCTAAGTTTATTCCTAAGTATTTTATC